TTTTTTTCCCCCCCCCCCCCCCCCCCCCCGAAACAGGACCGCGGTGGAATGAAAATAGCCTGAGGCGAACGGTTTGCCAAAGTGAAATGTGTCTTAAATGGTGCACCTATGGGGCAAGCAAAATCTAGGTCACTGAGCAGAGACAAATCTTTAGAGAAGGGTCAAACAACTATACCAGAAACCTGGGCTTGTTAGGAAGACGAACAGCCTTCCTGGCCAAGTGCAATTTAGATCAGGTGACTCCAAGCAATCTACTCCTTGCCATTATGCAGTGATTTTTTTTTTTTCATGCACTGCGGCACAAGGCATTAACTGAATTAGCACAAGGGGAAGGATTTCTTCTGTCAGCCCTGTGTCTTGCTACTAGTTACACTAGACTAAAGGACAAGCATGACTCTTAAAACCAGTATCTCACATAGTTGTAGGAAAAACCACATGCTGTTTGCCATCAGAAAGCTGGGAATGTGGTCCACAAGGTATCAAGCCTGAAGGTCACGCGATCCAGTTACTGTGTCATTTCCTTCAACTCCAGCATAATTTTAGTGACCACTTGTTGGTAGAAAACAAAAACTAATGCCATCCCTTTGTTCCCTGACAACTCATAACAACACAGCCCTTGACTGGCAAGGGATGCATCTAACTTGAGCAGTTTGGGACATATCTCCTATAGGAATGATGGTGAGAAACATGATGTGATTTTAAGGTTCAATAGGAACCACCAGATGTAGAAAATCATTGTGGAAACTCATCCTGACCGAGAGAGCAATTGTAGATTCCTATGGATTTAGTTCGGGTGAAGGGAGTTTTCAGTTTTTCCTATACCAAGAGAAGCCACATAAACTAAAAAAACATGCCTGCACCTTTGCAGCTTGTTGAGCCTCAAAGCAGACCAATCTGTTACCCTGTAATTTAGGAAGTGAAAACATAGTGAAGGAAAAGGAAGGACTGTACATGAGGGGAGGGGGGAAAAAACCAGCAAAATAATGTTGCTTTGAACAAATGCTGCTGCAATAAAAGAAGAGAGGAGGAGCATCTGTAAAAAAGCAAAACCTGGAAGGCACCATTTTGTGACTGAAAATGGGTCCCGTGCTTGCAGTTATCACATGGGCAAAACATCCAGTGAAACTCAGTTTCTTTACAGAGAAAACCAGATGTCCCTACCCAGTCCTCTGTGCTCGCTCCTGCGAGGTAAAGCATAACCCCTTACTGATTCCTTGCCAAAACGGCTGCTGTTGTCCCAGACAAATAGCTCTTCAATGGCAGGGCACTTAGGGCGCTTTTTCTGGCAGACTGTGATCTCTGGCACTGCTAATCTCAACCCCTCAAACCTGATTACTGGTCTGCAACAGCAAGATCTACTCAAAATGCTCTGCCCTGAGTAGGCCATTTTTCTGTAACAGCAGTGCCTGGAGTTCAGCTTTAGTTTTAAAAGGAGGCAAAAGCCCCTTCCTCATAGAAGGGAAGGTGTAGGAAGATATGCTCTGACATTTGCTGGGTAATTAGGGACCGGAGTTTCTCTAACAGCGGGCAGATCCCCTTGCAGAAGGACCTAGTTTCTCTGTACCTCAATGTTGTTACGGAAATCTGCAAAGCCAGCGATAGTTTAACATGCAGACATGCATAACTGCTGCACAAACATTGCGTTTAACCCTTTCAATGGGCACCTGGGAATGAAAGGATACCTGATACTGTACACCTGATGGCTCTAGGAATAATATAGCGTGTTGTGTACATCGAAGCCGTGCACTCAGAATTTGTTCACCTGAAGCTAACGCTTAAGTAACACAGCTGTATTTCCAGAAGGGAGTAATAGCTACTCACGTTCCACAGGCAGTTTCAAGGTATAATGCTGTTCCTAATGGAAAGTGCTACACAGTAAGGAAATGTGCCCCTTATTACACGGGTATGTGTCCATATACTACTAAGTGATGCTTGCTGCCCCACGCTTTTGTGTGTGGCGTAAGGTTATGATGGGAAGAGTGAGGCCCAGAAAGGCAAAGCTGTTTTGTGCTCAGCTGGGATTAGAAGTGTGAGATCCTAGCACCCTGCTGCTTAATTTTCCCATTGAAGGGGTTAACGCACTGCATGCGTAAGTGCCAGCACACCAGAGAGACAGCCCTGGACTGTGCATTGCCCCATGCCCGTTACCTCCTCCAGCTGGTACGGTACCTGGGGTTGGAGTGGCTTCAGAGAATGCAGCGCCAAGTATAGGGAGGGGAATACGAGGAGAGCATAGAAGAAAGGGGAAGAGAAAACAAAGGAACATATAAAACACACAGCACATGAACAAGAGACAAGGATCAGTCACACAGTCGCGACAGTTTTGAGAGAGAGAAAACACATTAGCAGCAAGTCAGCAGTTACCCTTTTGGGAGTAACCAAAGCTATTTACATAGGCCAAAGACAGGAGGAATCGGAGATTAATCTGCGTTCCCAGTCAGACACGCCAACCCAGCAGCAAGGGGATGCTAGTGGGCTCAAGTACGCAAAGCGCTTCAAAGTTTGCTTCCATCTCATTCAAGGACACATTTTGACATCCCATGTTCAATCTTGGCATAACACTGATGTCAATTCACCTGCGATGCACGCTAGGCTGAGGGTGAGTTTGACTTGTCTCTCATTTTACCCTCTGGGTTGAACGTAGTCTAACAGGGCTAGAAGCAACATCTGGATGCATTCATTTCTGTTTATGATGGAGTCAGGGATCTGTCCTGAAGACGAGATTAAACCTTTGCTTTGCTTTTCTGAACCTTCTTCTGTTGGGCTCCAGGGTCCCCAGTGTTACTTGCAGAAAATGAATCTCAGTCATTCAGAGCTGCCGAGTCACATTCTGCTTATTGGGATCTTACACCTACAAATAACAGATTTCTTGCCAACCTAGTGTTGTGTTAGATGCACCCTGTCTCTCATGTTTTATGCCCATGTCCTGCTTGCCTGATTCATGGGGCTTCAGTGGGCCTGCATTCATGAAGAAGGCAAGCAAGATGTTGCTGTTTTCACTCGGTTTTCTTAAATTGATGGATAAAGCCTTTTCCATCAATAGGGCATCCTTTGACATCTCGGTGCCTAAGATCAATGAAGGCCACTGTCCTTTATTCCCAATGTGGAGGGAAAGAAGGAAAGGGACACAAGTACTGGACACCCCCAGTTCTTTTCAGGCTGCCATTCATAGTAGTATCTGTTAGTAATCTCTTGCAGTGCATCTCAGATAAGCACTATGCAGTAGCTGTTAACACTAATTTTTAATACTGACCGCTTCAGCTCCTTCAGGAAACTATTTGTCTGAACAGACTAGGCAAAGCTAATTAGCAAGTTCACATAGCACTATCCAACCACTAAAGTCTAGTCCTGCTCCTCTATGCAACATATTTAGCAAAGCCCCTTTTACACAGATGCACAAGGTCAATATTTGCCTATAGCTAGTTCTTTTCCGAGCATGCGGGAATGCAGATCCCGCTCCATGGGAACTGTGGACAAATGCTGAAGTTTTTAATTGGCTAAGTCTGCATAATAATTCTGGAGCCTGCCTAAGACACATGGGAAGCATTTCATTTTCATTTTCCCTTCAACAGGATGTTTTTTCCCATCAACTACTATTAAGGCCGAGGGGTGGGGGAGCGGAGCAAAAACCCACTGAGTAAAGTCAGAGCCCCAGATGAATTGTAGGTCTTTTAGCAAATGCTATCAAATGGAAAGAGCCATCTTTGTCTCTCCTGTTCTCTCTTCCCTAAGGGCTGCTGAACTTTCACTTAGTTTGATGAATGTCTCACAATGGGCGTTTTATCCTATTATGAATCTACGAGTTGTGGCTTTTTCCTTTGGTGGGTCATCTGTTGATTACAGGGGTGACGGGAAAGTGGCACCACGCATCCCCCAGTCCGCCTTTCCAATGGCTCTCGGCACTTTGCGGCCTGGGGGCTGCAGCTGTTGTATAACTCTCCTTCCACCAATAAAAGTTATTTAAGCTTGCCTGGCAATATATGGGCAGTGTTGTATAAAATGAAGAGCCAAGGAGAAGCCAGCTACTGCTGGTGCAGTGATGTGAACGGTGTGAAGACCTACCAATCTCAAGTCAGCGTATGCATGTGCTCAGACCCGGTGGTTTCCCGGCCAGCTGTGAGCCTAGTCCAATTTGGGTTAGAATAGCCCTCTATAGGGTAGATAAGGGGACTCTATTAGAGCACAACCAGTAACGACAGTTGTGTCGAACCACCAGGCTGCAGCAGACTGGTGCTTGGCCATCGTGTCTGAATATTGTTGGGGCTAATGTGGATCAAGCTGTTGCAGGGACTAGGACTCGGAAGAAGCACAGGGTGTCCATTGGATATGCTTGCTCATCACGGGTCTTAGGGGGATGCTGGCTCAAATGGGGCAGCCCCAGAGAGGGCCTCTTTGCTTTAACAGTGGGAAAGGGCAGTAATAACGCCAAAACAAAAGGCTGCCAAACACATGGTAAAAGAATAGGGGCTTCTGTTCTGTCCTGTCCTGACCTCCACCCCGTTCAACTCTGCTTAGCAATGTAAAGGTGCAGAACTGGGTGATTAGAGTGCTATGCTGCTGTATCCACATCTCTACCCTCCCTTTCAACCCCTCCCCACTCCCAAAGAACTCAGTCTTTATCAGTGTCAGGGATGCACTTTTAAAGGCACAACTACCCTTATTCAATGCAGGATGCATCAGCCTTTTAGGAAGCTCAGATTTCCTGACATGTGGCAGCTAAGAGTTGGCTAAATTGCTAGGGGTGGGGAGAAAACCATCAAGGATGTGCGGGTTGAAGTAAAGTGAAATGGGCTTCCTGGCCAATGGCCCAGGAAGATAGCAGGGCAGGTTGGCGACAGATCTTAGAGCTCCAACTCATTTAGCTTCTCTGCGGACAGAATCCATCCCTGAGCCCTACAGCTGTGAGCTATTTATGCAAGGGAGATGGGAGCTTTAGCAGCCTGAGACTACAGGAGGTCATTATGCACATTCTGCATATTGACATAGGCCCAGAAATGCATTTTCTAGCTGCAAGGGAGGCAGGAAGATATTGCGGAGGAGCCCTCCGGCTTGGGCAAACAGTGTTAAACCAGGTCCCTCTGGTGGCTGTCTTCCAGGAAGCGGGGACAACTCTGCTCAGATCCTCTGCGGATCAGCAGCATGGTTCAATCAGAAGCCGGTCCCTTTAGGGGTTGAGCTCATTACACCTCACCCCCCCCAAAAAAACTTCCATCCTGGCATTTCTGTAACCATCAGACAGTAACACTCTTCCCACTGCATTGTCTCCCTTCTCATATCCTCAACAAGATCACTTGACACCAGCTGGGTCAAAGCATCCCTCCTTGCTGAGGTGTCCTAGCAAAGCTGTCATTTGTTATAGGTTTGCTTTTAAAAATCAATCAGAAGTTTCTCAGTGCAGTCTTCAGCCTACAGGACTGTAGTGCAGTAAACGTGCACAGTCCGCTGCTTATGAATTCCAGAGCTGGCAGGACTGCAGGGAGTTCCCTACCAGTCTCACAACCTGACGTAGGTAAATCCTCAATTAATGCTAAGCGTGTTCTTGCTAGCTCCCTCTCACCCGCGGCCTCTCAAGCATATCAAACACAGTAGCGCTGCCCAAAGATGGTTTTAATTTTCAATAGAACTCAAATTACCAGAGCCTACACTGCATATCCCTATGGTAAAAGCCATAAGAAACTACTGGAGAGGGTCATAGGAACTTAAGATGGAAAAGACCCATTCCCTCTCCAAATGGAACCTATCAGCTATTAAAGTGACACTGTGAGGGCAGGCAGAGGCCAGCAGGGTGATTTAGAGTCCCCTCCGAGTCATACAGAAAAGTTTTCTCCCTTTAAAAGTGCACAGAGAAACCCTCATGGTTTGGGCATGAGATAACCTCTAACTGCTTGAGGGCAGGAAGAAACTTCCCTCAAAAGGACGCTGATTACACTATTGTCTGTAGACGTTTCTTCCGCTTTCCTTTGGTATATCTGGTGTTGGCCACTGCTGAAAACAGGATACTGGATCAAATGGATCATTATTCTGATACGGTCTGGAAGTTGCTACTGTAACCCTCACTAAGTACCTATATGGTCCTGATCTTTGTTTTATTCAAGGACTTCTCAATCGTGAATGGATTGTATCTGCATAGCACCCTGTGAGACAGGCAGTGCTATCTCAGCTGAGGTGGAGAAGAGATGCAAGAGGTCTACTCAAACCATTATTGGCTAGAAACTTGCTTACCTTGGGCAATTTGGCTGCGTTTTTATCACAGCAAGTCAGTTAACCTCACTTCCTTGGTAAAACCAGATAGTGTTATATTTTCAGTGCTTCTTGTCTATTATCTCCACCCCCAAAGTTACAGCAACACGGTATTGCACCTACCTTCATTCAGCAGGGCTGGCGATTCCTTCATGAGGACTGCTCCATCTCCCACCTGGGTCCTGGCACGCAGGAAGAATCTGTAGCGTGAGATGGGGTCTGTCCTTTGGAGCGTGAACCTTGTTTGATTGGGGGAGAAGTTCTCTCCCACTGTCTTGCCCACTTTGGATCCATTAACTGGGGAGAAAGGCAGGCTTTGTCGGCTTCAGCTTTGCTTCATAAAGAGCCTGTGTTACATATTCCAGACCCTCTTGTCCTGGGACAGGAGCTGAAAATAGCTGAGGGGCTAGTATGCCTTGACTGCATGGAATGAAACTTGCCTAAGGGGTTCAACAACAACCAGCTGCTTATGGAGGGGTAGGGTTTCTAATACAGCCCGAACAACCACATTCACTATCGGTAAAATTCACACCCCTGCAGAGGTCCAGACAAGGCTCAGGCATCATACACCTGCCCTGCTTTTAAGCTCTTAGACTAACACTTGGTCCTGTGCACAGGAGTGACTTCTACCCAGCGTCTGGGGACAGGCAAGGGCAGCTTATCCTGTGGGAGCAGGTTCCCGTTAAGGTAGGCTGTGACGGAGCCTGCTGTACAGACACTATTGTACTCGGACTACTTGAAATTCCACATTTTAATCTTGGCTTAAACCTTATTTTTCCCTTCACAGCCACGTCCAGAAAAACGCTGACCTCCCACAAGTGGAGTGGCAAGTGTTTTACCTTGTGATAGAAGCCTGATTCCTTAAAGAATCACCCTTGGGCCATTTGATGTTTGCGTATCTCTTTAAACAGCTTGTTAGGGAAGCTCTGTCTTAGGCAAGCAGGTTATTCAACACCAAAGAGGAAATCTTGAAATCATCAAGCAGTCATTAAGCTAAGAAGAAACAGGTGTGGAACGTACAGGCTTGGTATCTAAGGTTGTATCCAGTGAGGATGCCATTGGGATGCTCAGGGTGGTCCCATTCCAAAGTGATGGTTTCCATGTTAGGCTGTCCAATTCTTAAGTACCGTGGGATGCTGGGCACTTAGGAGGAGGATGGGAGCCGGGAGGTGAGGAGGAAAAGGAAAAAAAAACAAAACAAAACACATAAAGGTAACATACCTTACCATACTGTACACGCTGCAGGCTGGCTGACATCATAAAGACACACAAAGCTCAGATGCTGATAGAACAAGAATCTGCATTAGAAACCATGCGCCAGTCCCAGGGGTCTCCTAAGCACATGAGAAGGGCGCTTAAAATGGAGCAGTTCTGCATGCGAGTTCAATATTGAAGCAAGAATCATGCCTGCACATTCAGCCGCTGAGACACCTGTACTGCAGTCTGAGAGTGCCTTGCTGACAGAAGAGCAAGAGCATTGCAACACAAATGTGACAATGATGACCGCGATGCCCTCTTCAGTGACTAGCCCTATCACCATCATCATTAGCTACAGGAGGCCGCTTGCAGCCCATGTGGTTGAGGCTTGTGTTTGCAGATGATAAACTGAGGCTCTAGACACAGATCAGTACTGTGCATGTACGGTCAGCCCCATGGGAGCCTTGGCTGCAGTGTGCGCTCTATTCCATCAGCCCAGCATGCCTCCACCCCTGAGGACTGTTTCCTTTCATACAGAGAAGAAGATCAAGGGCTCTCTCCAAAACTCACATCCCTGATCCACTTCAAAGAAAACACACTGCATTGGTCAGGAAGACATGCTATCTGTGTCACTGGTTTCATTAGCAGAGCAGGTGAGGCCTGTTTTACGGCCTTACAGACCCACATTAGGAAGCCATGCAGCAGGCATGGCTTTAAACTACCATAGGCTGCCCTGGGATTTGCAGTTTTAACTTCTCCTCCTCCAACCCCCCAAAAGCCAGGGTGTCCTTACTGCTCCCAATAATCTATGGAAACAAAGTCCCATACACCGAGATCTCAAGCCAGTGCAGACCTAGAGATGCAATCCACCTTTAACACAGAGCAGACTATTACCAAGCTTGGCAGGGGGATAGGAAGATCACCCAGCTGGCTGAGAAGATCACATTGGCTAGTATGCACATTTATGCAGCAAAACGCAGTGTAGTTCTTGGAATGCATCAGCTGTTTAGCTCGTATCTGTACAATGGGGACTTGGCCCAACATTTCTGGGCTGCATGCCCTCACCTAAACACACTAAGGTAGCAACTGCATATAGACAACTGCTTTGCAAGTCCCTTTTAGTATACAGTTCTTTGAAATACTAGGAAGAGGGGTGTGACTCTTTAAATACCAAGAATGTTATTCAAATTGTGCCTGCAGTAGATGGCGTTGTCTCGTTTTATGCTACATTTGGCTCCCAATGATCAGGATAGAGTCTGGTTTTCAGAAGAGAAGGATTCGGTCCTGCCTGGTTACCACCGTGATTGATGGCAAATCAAAACAACTGATACCTTATCCGGCTGACAGGATAGTCAGATATCTCCAATACGTCAAACTGAATATGCACAAATAGCACAATTTTTTGCCCCTCCCGTACGACTGAATGGCTCCATGTTCTGTTTCTGTTGTCACAATGCTTGAAAAATCCCTCCTAGAGATCAGGACCTTACAGGCACAGCACAACTAGCATACAGTCATTGCCCTGAAGTGTGTACAAGCTATGTAATTTCCTGCTCTGCCAGCTGGGAATGTTATGCTGTGAACCAAATTCTGCCCTCAGTAACTAGGGTCAAGTATTTGACCAGTTAAATAAAGTTCGGTCAATTGACCGGTCAAACTTCGGTCAAAAATTGTAAAAAAAATTGCCAATAGGTCCAAATAATACACCGAAAAAGCACAAATTTTCAATTAAGAAATAAGTCAAGAAGCAATAAAAAAAAAAAAATCGTATTTCTGTAAGGAAACAACTGCAAAAAATGTAGTGTTTTTGTAAAACTGCTATAATTTTTGACCAGTCAAAAAATATGCAGTTAAGTGACCGGCTTGCCAACCCTACTTGTACCCACAGTGTTTTAACAGGGGACAGAGCTTGGATTAGCTTCTTGCTGATAAAGTATTTTGTTTTTTTGGCCTTGAAGCTTACTGCATCTCTCAAGCATCCATTTGCACCCATTAAAGTAGAACAGAAACTAAAACAATTCTTTGGCAAGCAATATGCGACGGGAGTGTCCTGTGATATGGTTCGGCATGAAAGGAGTTGTAGAACCAGTGGTAGCTGGGAGGATCTGTGTAAAATGAGGCTAAATGCGGAAGGAAGTATAATATATAGTTAAGAGTCTGCATTCAGAATTGCCTCATTCAAGTGAAACCATTGTGGAAGTTTTTCGTGAGAGACGACTCCAGGATTTGGCCCCACTGGCTCCTTTCCCCCTTTTAGAACAAGCTTAATTCAATCTAGTCAACTGCAACACCTAAACGATGGTAACATAATTAAAGCCCCACGCTGTTGTTTTTTCTTAAAGGTAAAAACCAGAGACAGATTCTGGTTTGTACTAAGAGGAGGGGTGTGAGGGGGTGGGGAGGCAGAGGAAAAAGCTTGGGGGAAAGGATGGTTATTGAAGACCCCATCAGGATTCTCAAATTCATTTAAACCCCCCATAATGCCTCTCACCCCTCCTAGTGCTGCTCACAGCATACAACACCATGACAGTAAACACTACAAGGAGATTCACTGCCAGTTACTGCGAGGAGCAGGTCCAATGCAAGGCTATTGATCTGTCTATAAATAGGAGCAACACTGAAATCCAGAGTTCAGTCCTGACATTGTCTGAACCTCAGCGAGTTTATAACAAGAATTAGATGCTCTCACCTTAAAAGCCCAGTGGGACTATGAAAGTTGTATTCATTCCTAGTAATAATGCTCTTTACCCAGGAACACAGATATCATTATCCCCTTTTTAAGGATAGGGATCTGAGCCCAGAACAGCGGCGGGGACCTGTCCAAGCTCACGCAGCCAGTCTGGCGTCAGTCCAGGGTATCGCACACAGCCTTCCCGGGACGGAGGGAAGGGTTGCGATTTCTCTTGCTCGGACTGAGCTGCATCTGGTTTGTCAGGAGACTCCTTTTAGGATTTTGCAATTATGTAGGACGGTGCCAGGGACTATCCCCAGGTGGGCCTGCTCCTGCAAACTGTGCTCATGGGAGAAGCCTCGTTGACTTTAATAGGCTCCACCCCTGCAAGGAAAGCTTTGCAAAACTGGCCCCTGCACATGGTGGCACAACAGCCTGCGGGAATACAGATATCCAGGAGGCAGCTTGTGCGTGGTTTATGCCGCTTCAAAGAGTTTCCTTGTGATGGTATTTGAGAGAGCCACTGCAGCAGAGGGGATTTCAGTCCCCTGCAGCACGCCTAGCATAGCAACTCCATTAAGCAGCCCCCTTAGTAGCATACAGGTACCTCTGACATTATGGACGACAGTAACATGGAAACATGGCAGAGGTGCATAGAGTTACAGCGTTGAGGCTTTCGATGACATCTGTCCTGCCCAAGGGGGCAAGTTCTGCCCAATGGTTTTCAAGGGAAATCCTCAAGCAGGGCAGGATCCTCAATCCTCTAAAGTCCTCTGCCTTTTCTGCGCACCTGGAACCTGCCAGTATGTGCCCAAAGCATATCACAGCATGTGCCTGCAACCTACCTCCTTCAGGTGTTGTGAACTCCTTGATTTCACTCCGGGGCCCATCTCCTCTCCCATTGACTACAACCATCTCCAGTTTGTAGTTGCTATAAGGAAACAGCTGGGACACTGTACCCCGTGGTCGGTCTCCAAGAAAACTTGTGTACTGCCTTTTTCTGGAGACCCACAGGTTCTTCAGCAAACTACTTTCTCTCCAGTAATAGGCCTTCAAGAAATAGGCATAACAAGTGAAGCTTTTCCCATTCAAAGTGAGAACGGTTCTCATTAACACCACATAGAGAGCTCTGCAAGAGCATTTGTCATCTGCAGAACTCACAGCACAGCTGAACAATTAACAAAGCTTAACGGCCTCCTTGTGAGGTGGGTCAGTGTTGTTAATGTCCCATTTCACAGATGAATGGCTGAGGCACAGAGGGGCTCAGTGACCTGCCGAAAGTCACGGAGCAAGTCGGATGCAGAGCTCAGGCTAGAACCCAGGAATCCAGGCCCCAGCTCTAGACACCAGACAATCCTCCTTCTTTAGTTGCATTAGTAGTTTAGCTAAAAGTAAAATAGCACAATGTGTCCTGGCACAGCTTAAAGTTTAAACTTGGAATGACATGGATTCAAAGTCAACCCCAAAACCATTCATTTAGCCCAGAAAAAACAGTAAGTGAGCATGATGTATGGGAGTGGGCTCATGCCAAAGAAGGCTGAATCCAAGGGATTTTCCATGACTGCTTGATTTTGGGATTTGAAAATCCTAAATGCTTACAGAACTGTGCCATTATGCACTTTTGTTCACTTTTCAAAGGCCATTCTTAGCAGATTGTGGCTAAGTCCAAACTTTGAACAGGTTCTTCAAGCTGTACACATAAGAACAGGCATTTTGCCTCAGCAATGCATATACTTGATAAGGAAGAGTAGCTGCAAGGAGCAAACAGGATCCACCTCTCCATCTTTAGCTTTCAGTTAGTACGGTCGAGTTGTTTTAAGTCTTGACTGGACTGCATTTATTAAAACACGGTACAGACACTAGGGATGACAGAAAAACAGCTTGTGTGTACTGGAGGGCTTTTTCTCCATCACTTCCTATGAAGGGCTCTGTATTAACCATTCCAGAGACAGGAGGGGACTAGTTATTCAGTTACAGCAGCTTCCACTGTACCTTTAGAGTTCAGCTGTATGCATTCAAGGTTCATTCTGCTTGCATGGTCCTTTCACTCCCTGTACCTGTAGACAGCTGACAAAGGCGGTGGTGATATGGGCACGCACTCGTTGAGGAACGGGTACATCAGCCCGCTAGCCAGTATCGATACCATGTGTTAGGCCTGAGTGTTTGGACATTTTGGGCCAAGCTCTACTTCTTTTGAAATCATTGGGAGTTTTTCCATTGATTGTCAGCAGAAGGAGAATCCAGCCCTTCCTCACCCTGACAGATGAGATGTTGCTAGATTTTGTGGGACAGGCATGTCTTCAATGTTCAAACACAGGTGCCATCTAGAACAGATGGGCACAAATACAGGTTAGCCTACATCACGGCAGCAGCCAAAGTTGTCTGGTCCTATTTACTGTTTTATGTCATCCCAGTCGCTTACCGGCCAAGTTACCAGGTCACCGCCGCTGAGCGAGGTTAGCTAGATTAGTAGTGGGCAGCAAAATGATTTGGCTTTGCTCACTCTGTATTCCTTAAGTTGTCCTTGGACGGTATCCGGGTACACTTTCGTCCACTGGAGACTTACTGCAGTGCTGTTCAGGACTCTTAGCCTAATATCAGTGGGGGCAGCCTTGGGATCTAAGCATTCAGGGATAAAGCAGAGTGTATATTAGGAACACAAAGATTTCTTTAGAAGTCAGATGGCAGCTCTTCCCTCTGAGGTTTGGCTGCTAGGAACTCCCACAACATGGGTTTTGGAGCTTTTGTTTTTCATCTCCACCATCGTCTCGAGTTAGTATCAGGCACACGTGGGCCCCTGCTGCCATCGTGTGGCACTAGGGAGGAATTCTACCTATGTCCTAGAGGGGTGTGTTTTCATGAGAGCAAAATCTCGCCGTTCTCTCTACTTAGTCAACCTTGTGATGTTCCCATCCCAATCTTGAGATGTTTCCGCAGCTAACGTAACACAGCAGGAACAGGTGAAGTCTAGCATGCTTGGCTGAATTGCCTTGAATCGATTGTTCCGCTAAAAACACATTTTCAACCCCGCTGCCCTGCGAATATACCCAAATCCCAGTCTTGGAAACAGAGTCCAGAAAGTATTATCATTTGCCTCCCTATAGTCTTTTGCCTGAAGATCTTTCCATTCACAGCTCCCCATTAGCATGGCTGGGCAGTATATCAAAGCTACGGGCGGTGAAAAATAGACGCGCAGAAGTAAAACTAATTTTAGTTACCAAAAAGGTCAAACAGCAGAGTGAGCAACTTCTGCTCTAGCCCGGGGTAGATGACCTTTTCCAGCTGTGGACCACAATGACCCACCCCAGGTCAGCGATAAGATGGGTGGGCTCTAGGACCCGACTTGCTCCCGGTCATCACCGCACCAGCATGGAAAGAGTGCCCCAAACTGAAAGCCTCCCACAACTGGTGAACGCTGTCAAAGCCCCACATCCCTGGGCTGGATCAGTGGCCAGATCCAGCCTGTGGGCCATTGGCTGCTGCCCCTTGCTCTAGCCCTTTGACAATGTAGCCATTAGCTCAGTTTGAAAAATGGTTTCCCTGAGATGCCAGCATCTCTGTGCATTGGCTTGCCACCTGGCACAGGGATTTAACAAGGCTTTCTTTATGTTTTAAGAGAGGCCACCAGACCCTGCTCAACTAGGACAAGACTCGGGCAAAATCATCAGGTAGTGTACATTGGCAGTGCTCCCTTGAAGCCAGTGGAACATTTCAGAGTCACTCCACCTGAGGATCTGGCTTTAAACATCAGTCCCCCAAGTGACGAGCCAAAAAACAGCTGCACTGAGTCAATGGAACAGCAGAACTTATCCAACAATGACTTCCCAATGGTTCCCTATGCTGCACTGATGCATATGCAGCTCAACTGGGTCCATCCTCCAGTGAGATTATCTACAAGGAGCTTTTGTAAAAGCAACAGGGACAAGGGATTAGATGGGCTAAAAGACTCCAGTTTGCATGGAGATATTGCTTTGGTTGAAGCACAGCCTAGCAAACCAGTCAGCCTTGGAGGTTGGCTGGTCTAAACTGCTTGCCCCGGGCTGCTCAAAAATCAACCGAACCAACTAAGGTGATTTATAGGAGAGCACTGCAAATGAGGAGGAGTTCTTTAGACCATTCTCTGCTTACCCCATGGTTGAATTTCAGCTAGTGTTTCAAATCCTCAGGTAGCACGCACTGGAATCCCAGTGAAGTCATGAAAGCTGTGCTGGTTTATACTAGCCAAGACTCTGACCCAGCATCTCTAAGCGATTGTCCTCTTGACCACATCTAATCTGATGTGCTCCAGCTTTTCTAGACAGGAAAGCTCTACACCTATGAGACTCCTTTGCAAAGATGTTTGCAGGTCTTCACAATCTCTTCTCCAGAGGGGAACACATCACAATCTCTCACACTACTGGCATTGCCATATTACCACTCCTGTTCCATTTAACATCAGAACGTCCTACAGGCCTCCACAAATCAGCCACCTCTAGCAACAGTTATTCTAGGCACAGAAAACTATGATCAAAGGCAGCAGAACCAGCCTATCCTTTCTTATTCTATAACCTAAATTTACAGGACAATAACTTGGGCAAGGTCTGTAATCTGTGTTCCCTCTACCCTTCAGTATGTACTGAATGAGTTTAACTGTCTGCTTGGTATCAAAGACTGGCTTGTTATCTTTGAAACTACAAAGTGCAACTGCTTTGAACAGATGGTAAGATTTATTTCTGTGGTAATTAATAAACAAGTACTACTTAGCTCTGCCGGAAAGCTTATTTAAAATTGCAGTACCCATTGGATAATTTCAGGAGACACCCCTGGCAAAGATTCCCAAAAGTGACTAATGGTTTTCAGGTACCTCACTAAAAAGACCTGAAAGAAGACAGATTTTCAGAAAGGGCTGAGCCTTTTGAAAGGACCTTTTGAAAACCTCTGCTTTCAAGTTATTGGTGGCAGAACGCTTCTAATAAATTATGGACAGATGTAGGACTCACTAGGTGATATCCTATGGCACGATTTACACAGGAGTTCAAAGTAAATGATCATAATAATGCATTCCGGCTTAAATCAGCGAATAATAGTACACGTTACATTTATGATACAAGCTTTAAGCAGCCTGCAGTTCTCTCTCCTGGTTCTAATATTTTTTTTAAAGAATGGCAAACAGCATTTTTTTTCTTGTTGCAGAAACTGCCCCCCCAAACCAACCAATTCATAGAGAAAAACACTTCACAGTTCTCCAGTGAGCTGTGAATTGAGACATCAAAGGAAATACACCAGCATTAACCATTGTTTCCTAGGGATACCCTGAAGCACAACCCCCCCCTCTTAGATGCCAGTCCAACAAAGCAAGAATCAAGATTTAGTTGACCAAGAGCTGATCAAAACATTTGGCACTAGACTCCGGTAATGTGAGTTTACAAGGTCACAAAGCTTTTGAGAAGTGTTGGTTTCAGCACCACGGACAGCAGCACACTGTTAAAGGCCTGTGGGATTTTTTTACTCTACAGGAAGTTTAACGCTGTCACGTTCAGCTAGAGAAGAGGAAATGGAAAAATCTGTGAACAACCTTCCCTAAAGACTTCCAAGGCAAGCAGGAGTTTGTAGAACCTTTCTAAGGGAGTGCCATGATACCTGCAGGGGCTGGCTTGCTTATACTGGACCAACTTGGATAGTTGGGAGAGAGGAGACAAGCTTTCAGACATCCTCAGGTCTGGGAAAGAGGCAGTCACCATCCAAGCTAATTCCAAATCAGAACAACTGCTTATGTGTGTTAATTAATGTGCCCATTTGAAATGGAAGGAGGTGGGATTATCGCTTGTGGAGCAAACAGAAGTTCAGCAGAGGGAAGGCCAGAAGTTAGTTGTAATGAACCTTAAAATCAAGCTGTTAAGTTCATGGTGTTTGGTGTCACAAAGACAGTAGGTTCAGAGAGTTTTGTGACAAGTGTTCTACATCTGCTGCACAAATGTTCCTGCCCTTAGCACTTTTTAAGGGAGTTCATTTTGAAGCAGTGGTCAGTTGGTTTCTCTCAGGTTTCATAAGGGCATTTGGTGCGCCTGATGAGGTATTCGCATATGTAGGGTCCATGGACTCTGATTTCCCTGTTGTGGGATGTGCTCACAACGGCGGCAGTGGAGATGTGTTGGCAGGCTGTGTATTTTTGTTTAGGCAGGGTTCTGATTGCATCTGGTTGTGTGTCCTTGCCCTCAAAGGAAACCTACACAATATCTTCAGAGGACACGCCTGGAGATGAGTTTATAAGGCTTAACTGGATGCCCAAACCCATGAATTTAATAAGGCATAAAACCAACGTGTTATTTACAACTTACCTCTCACCTTCTGCTAACTTCTTTTAGTGCAACAGGTGGTAACTACTCATCTCCCTTTCAAGTGGTCAAACACATTCAGGGGATTAGGTTTAACTGTACTTAATTTGTACTTAAGTTTGAGCTGTGACTAAATCATTCCCAAACCTGATAAAGGAGGCTAGAAGTCCAGAAATTTGCTCCCCTTCCTTTCCCAACTATACACTTTGGCCCTGTAAAAGGTATTAGCTCATTTCACAAATCTTCTCTTGCATCCCTGGACCATTACGGCTATACAACTACCACTGCAGGAGGATTTAAGTAACAGCCCATATGGGCAGATATTACATAGCTCTAGCTTTCCACATAACTTCCACCTGTGCTTGGTGCTGCATGGTCACAGGAGGTGCTCAGATACTGGCAGGGCAGAAAATGCGTAAGAAAACAGGTCTTCAGGCAACACTCACCCTTCCCAGGGGATGAGCCCTTTTTAGGGCACCATCACACACTGGGGGAACAAAGAATACCAATGACCCATGAGAGATGCTGTGTGTATAGCACTAACTCTGCAACAGCTGAGCTCTGCAAAACTGTAGCTCCAAACCCAGCATCTGCTTGGCTGCTATTAGTCTAACCCCTTTGTGCATTAGGTGCCCGCAGTCCTTTGAAACCAGGGCCTCTAGCTGTTAGCATGCTGCTCAAGTTACAGTTTAGCAATGTATTAGCCACCAGTCTACCTCTGGCTATTCTCTTCCCTCTCACTGCTGTCTCCTCATCCTAACTTAAAAGACTGGTACTGACCATTCAATTGCATGCAACAGCAAGCTGCTGCTGAATAGGAGGGGACAAGGGATGCATAGAAGGCAACAAAAGCACTTTGAAACCAGCTTCAGAAGGAGATGGACCTAAGCAAGGAAAAGCTTTCAAGCACTGCATCTATCACACGTGGGGCCCACTGGAGTCAGTGTGCAGACCTGCTCCACAGTTTTTAAAGCATAGCTCAGTGCCATTTATGGGGCTAAATGATGCGAGAGCTGGGCTCCTCAAGCCAAGCCTGTCTCACTTTAACTTAGCTGTAGAAGTGCAGCAAAGATGTATTTATATTTGTTCGGATTCAGCAGGACCCAAAGCAGAGCCCTCACTACCTCTTTTGAACAAAAGAAAGAACTTCATGCAATAGCAAGAGACGACTGCAGAAGCAAAGTGCTGCCCTAGTCAGTGCAACCTGCTAGAGGAGGTGGGGTGGTCACTTCAGCTGTGTGTGGCTATTCTTCCTCATTCAGTTCTGTGCTCCTAAGCAGAGCTGTTGCTTAACCCTTTACATTAACAGGAATGCCCATGTTTTCTGCTCTGGGAGCTCATCCGGGCAGTGGGAAGTGTGCCATGTACTAGTTCAGCTATGTTGTCTTCAGAGCTTGCAGGTCTCCTCCTCAGGGGTGCTGAGCACCAACAGGTCTCGCTGACTTCAAGACAAACTGTGGGTCCTTAGCCTCAGCACGCCTTACCTCCAATAGCAGCGGCAGCAGGGAGTTCAGACCGTGACTCCTGCTCATAAGGTGCACCTGAGCTAAAGTGTATACAGCCTATTGGCCCTGCCCCAATTCCATTGTATTTCACAGAATAAATTATGGCTTAGAGGCCCTGGACATTAGGGACAAGCAATATCAGCTGTCCTGAGGAAAGTGTGGGGGGAGATAAATAAGCAGGCAACTGGCCTGTACTGGTCTCAGGTGGAAGAGCATTCTGCAGATCAGAGATTTTTAAAATTGCCTTTAGCCCAGTGACAGTTTAAATTGTTACCTAAAGCTGTGGCACAGCCAGGCACTGGGCAGGGAGGCACAGGACCCCAGTCTGGGACTTCCTTCTGACCAGCATAACAAGATAAGCCAACTAATCAACTCTACCCAGCTACTGCTCCTTCAGCCAAGGTGAGCTTTGCAAAGGGCAGATTGCAAGGTCCTAACTCCTTCTCTTGACTTACATCCAGGACTGACTTTAATTAAGCCTCACAAAGCTATGGCACAAAAGGGTTAAGGTTCACTTTCACAGACAGAAAAACAGGCAGACTCCCATGGAGGGTGAGTGCATGATCTGGGTCACTCAGGGACTTTGCAGCCAGGTAGTTAGGAATGAAGTCCCATCATCAGACCCTCAGTCTCCACCTCTCTCAGACCTCATATGCCTGAAAATGAATTTCTGTGCCACTCTGAGCACAGCAGAGAAGCTGGCAGGTGAATGGCAGTGCTGCTTTGTTATCTCCAGATGAGGAAGGCTCTAGTAACTTCCAGGGTAGAGCTGAGGTTTCCCCCTTCTGGTTAAGGTTTAATATGTTTGGCTAAGAGAATACTCACAATCTTCCCCTGAGTAGCCGATGACGACTTCAGGCTCTGGTGCTCTCCCAAAGTCGTTCTCTGCTTGCACCTTGATGTCGTAGGGCACGTAGATGGGCGTGTTCCAGACGACATACCTCGTGTTTCTCACAGTTGCATTACTCCAACTTTCTCGCGTGTCCCTCCTTCTCCATTTTACTATGTACCTGAGGTTGGGTCCATACATTTGGGTTGCATTCAGTGGCTTAGTGGACAAAAAAGAGTGAGTTATTACGCTTCCTCGGCATGACATCATCATAAAATATGAGCTGACTCTTACATAAATGAATTTTAGCCATGAGATCAGTGTCAGGGGGACTGTTTTACTGATGACGAAACTGAAGCTAAACAACTGTCCAGGGTCAGCCAGCAGGCTCGTGGCTGAGCCAGACAGAACCAAAGCTTCCCAAGTATTCAGTCCAGTGCTCTAGCCTCTAAAGTTACACTTCTACTGTGATTTTTATCCTATCCCACACCACAGCCTTGGTTGCCAGTTGTGTTGGCTGAAAGCAAGAAATGGTGAAACAATGTTGAAAATCTTTTCTCAATTATCTGAGGAGCGATGCTGATGCGGATAACTGAGGAAAAATGTTCCACCGCCTGCACTGGTTATTCAACCCACTTTGCTAGACAAGAGATGCAGCTCCATGAGATTTCGGCCCTTGGCCACCCTTCATTAAGCTGCATCTGAGGTCTCGAGTCTTTGACCTGATCGGGAAGAAAAACAACTGAACAGCTTTTGTTTTTGCTTAATGACAAGCAAATCATGACAAATATACTGTGCAGAGGAGGCCTAAGCCAACTCCAGTGCAGGGCATAGAGGGGCTCCAGGAAGAAGGGGAAAGTCCTCCTCCTTCCCCAGATAGAAATTAAAAATCGTGTTACATCTCATTCACAAAAGGAGTGAGTCACTGGTTTTAAAATAGTGTTCTGAGTGGTTATTCTGTTCGGACATGATGACTCAATAGAGCATCTGGACTCTTCACCCCGCTGTCTGTTAGCTGTTCTAGAGATTTGTTTCTCCTGTCAAGTGCCCAGCCTGGGCTGATTGCTCTACGAACAAACACTAAGTAAAATTCAGGAGTGGAGATGATTATTGTGGCAGTGGATTAATGAGTCAAGTTGCCAACTGCAAATTTAAAGGAAAGAGGAAGCAACCTGAACATCCTCATCCCAAAGAGGTAGGGGCTTTCGTAGATGGACCATGGTGGATGTAAAAGGCCAGAGTAAGTCTGTTAAAGAGCTGGCGGTGGATACAAGCTTAACTGCATTGGCTGAGCCCCGTTGCGTTCGAGGAGGATGCACACGTCTGTTAGCTGGCATGGGGAACAGGCTAGCACAGGCCTGTCGAGAGCAACCAGCATTTGTATCACTTCCTGAAACTCTTTGAGCTCGTGCTTTGAAATCAAACCGAACCCAGATCCAAAGAGGCATACCCCAGCACCCATCTTTGATGCCCATTTGGTATTTAAGCCTCAAAAAAGAAAAAAGGAAAAGAAAAACTGACTCACTGTCCAAGTTATTTCCATGTTGTTTTTTTGTGTCCCTACTCCCTGAATGCCTGTTGGGTTAATTTCTGGACCTGAAAAAGAAAACCAAGAGAAAAACTCTTTGTTTATGCAGCAGTGGAAAAACACAATTGAGTAGATAAAAAAAAAAAGGCTGGTTATTTATGAATGTACAACAGCAATGTAGAAAATTTCTTGCTGAAAATCAGTGTGCCGCTTCCACTCATGTTGGGGGACTCCGGTGGGTTCCCAGCATGTTTTGAAAACCAAGTCACTTAGAAGCCTAATCCTCGTTTTGTCGTCAGAAATGTCACATATTTAGAAGGTGCCTGACCTGTCATTTAAATAACAGTGGTCACCAACAGTATCTGTGGGCCTGACTCCAGAAGTATGCTGGCCTGTACCCCAAAACAGGAGTGACAAGGCTCAGCCAGGCCTAGAGGCTCAATAGATAGGCACTTCATTTGGCTTAAATTTAGGAAGAGAAAGAGGGGCCTTCTATTCAGCTTTTGGGCTTTGTAAGCTCCTTGTGCCTCAGACTCCATTTTCTGCAATGTTTTTGTCCATTGCTGGACGTTCGCTTGGCCCACACAATAAGGAACTCCACTGAGGTGCTGTATTGCAGCACATCTCGCGCCTCCGCCTGTTCTGGGATCTTGGCCAATACCTGGGGATAGTGGCGTGAGTTAGCAGTTTTAGCACGTAGCTTTGCTTCTGTCAGCTCAAAATAGAACCTCGGGGTCAATTTTTCGGGGCGGCTTCTCAAGCTTTCTTTAGAAGGAGGTAGCAAAGGGTGGCAGATGGCTCCAGCGGGATAGAAAGCAGACTGATTTGGGAAGCCCTGCCTTCCTTTTAACCAGATGTGCACTAGAATTATGGAACGACTTTCAGCTGGAAACGAAGCATTTAAACAAAAAGGTGAAACGTCTAGATGGCCCTTTGAGAAGGCAGGGTTAAATGGGCCAATTTCTGCAGCCAGCAGCCACCTTTGACCCTTCAGACTGAATGACCAGGTCCCCATTTAGCTGGGTCAACTGGGGACAGCTTTTGGCATGAGCAAGGCTTGGACTTATGCTTCAGGAGCCATCTTAACTGCTCTGCCACAACATCCTGAACTGCACGGTGGGCTTAATTAACTAGCAGTCACTGAGATGCAGCTGAGCATGTAAATGCATGGGCCAAGTTCTGCTTTCAGTCACATAAATCAGGACTAAATCTGATAGAGGCACTTTGGGTTCACAGCATGGCCGGAGCAAAGTCCAGCCTTACGAGTTCTACATCCGTGAAAAATGGGCTTTTGAGAGAAACGGTATCCGGCCCTCATCCATCACATCAGACCTGTGAGTAAGGTGAAAGCCATCTGGAGAGAGCAGAGCAGCTGAAAGCAAGCTGGGCCTGTGAGCAAAACGGGACTCGGCTGGAAGGACTTACGCGCCCCGTTGGTCTGGTACCGCTCGGAGGGGAGGCTGGGCAGGCTGCTCCCCACGTCGTTCACGGCAATCACTCGGAACTGATAGTTGACGTACGGCGAGAGACGCAGCACAGCCGAGTTCACGCTCCCTGGGTAACTGGAGTGGTTGTACCACGTCCCAGCCTGGAACCGGTCTTCCTCAAACTGAACGATGTAGTCTAGAGGAGAGATGCAAAAGACGTCAGGGGTTGCACCTCACTCCCTGGACCCCCAACCCCCCGCCAGAAGACGTTGTTTTGTGCAAGGAAAAGAAACTGGGATAACAGACTTCAGTGAGTGAGCGAAGGGGAGGGCTGCACGCCAACCTGTGATCGGGCTGTTGTTGTCATCGCCAGGTATCCAAGTCAGCCGCACGCTCCTTTCGGCCAGGTCTGTCAGCTCCAAGTCGCGGGGTTGGTTGGGTCGTCCTAGCAGCAGAGCGACAACAGAAGTTAGGTCCCTTTGAAAAAATCCCAGCCAAAGGGAGGCGAGTGTCCAGTTCTCATGGACTTGGTGGATATAGACACCTAACGCTTCTTTCAGGCTCTCTTGGGACTCCCAGCCCAAATGAATAGTGGTAGTAAGTCCAAGTCGTCATTGTGGCAAGCAGCTGCACGTGAAGGGAGTTGTCTCTGTTCAGTCCTTATGGAATAAGTACATTTTGCTGGAACTAAATGCTCATAACAGCAAACAGCTCCCCTCCACCACCAGTAGTGGTTGGTGCCCCTTAGAGGCGCGCAGGTGGCCTTTCTAGACTGTAGAAGGCTTGTTGGTAGGGCCAGCGGTACCCAAGAGTGAGGCATATGGTGTTAGGATGTAAAAAGATGGGAGCTAGTAAAAAAGGCTTAAGATCAAGAGGGGGAAAATCCCAAACTGCATGAAACATTCTAGAGATGGCGGATGGACACTAGGGAAACAAACCCTGTATGTGGTCCAGGAGGGCAAAGTCATGCAATAAACATCTGTGATGCCCGTATAGTACCACCCTTCCCAGGAACCAGCTAGGATATGCAGCTAAGACAGGAAGACATCTTCATCCTTATCGTCACACAGAGAAGGACCCAGGAGTATGGAGGGAGAAAATGACTTTCCCAAGATCCTGCAGCAGGACAGCAGCAGAGACAGGAGCAGGACCCAGACCTCCTGCCTACCTGGCCAGACCATCACCTCCACATTTCCAGTAATGGGTCATACTCTCACATGAGACCACAGTGCCCCTTGACACCAAGCCATATATGCCACAAGAGCCAACTGGTGTGTCTCTTGGGGACAAAGCCTGCTGGGCCTGGGTGTGCCAAGTCCCTGGCTTTTCACCCCTCCAGCCTACATGTTACACGCGCAGTTATCGCAGACCAAATCCAAACAGATTTCAACATAACACACAACAGAAGGCTTTTGATAAACCAACCCGATTAGTGGTGGTTACCTTTGGGTAAGGCTGTCATACGATTAGTTGGAACGGATGGAATAGCTGCAAGGTAAGACACTGCCTGTTATTGGAGTTAGTCATTGAGCTTGGCTGGCTGAAGGGAAATAAATACAAGTTAAACGATTCCTCCAGGATTTGCTGCTCCCTTTCCTTGCGGGTGGGGATCAGGGAACATCGGTTCTTGTGCTCTTCACATAGAGGCTGTTCAGGACAGTCCTATAACCAACCCCGTGCTTCTTGCACCCACTCCCTCCTGCAGCTTACACTTGGCAAGGGAAGGAAGGAAAGTTAGGCCAGTTTAAAAATGAATTAGTTTAAGGGCAATTAGCTGTTAAGAAAAGGGGTGGGAAAATCATATGCAGCTCAGTTATTAGGGAGGCAGGATCCCTGGGGCACTCTAGGCTTGGTGAGCCTGAGGCAAAATCACTGAAATGTAGAGGACATGGATTTGATGGGAGTAGCGTCTTTTTAAGAGGGTTCAGGTGGTTGAGAACAGGTACATCTAATTCCTGCTGTCTCGGAGCACGCGTTGCCCAAGTCTGACCTCCAGAGCCCACCGCCCGATGTAGTTTGTGCTAAGAAGCCAGAGGTCTTATCTCTGCTCTCCTTGTGCCTAGGACATGGGAGGAGGCAAAGCTGTTACCTAGCACCGTGAGATGCGCTTTGGCAGAGTCCTTGTCCAGTTCAGTACTGGCTATGCAGGTATAATCTCCTTGATCCTTCTCAGCCACGCCGTGTATCGTCAGACCATCATCTTCCTTCTTCATCCTTGAAAGGATAAAATTGAGTTAAAACCCCCACAAACAATCAGACGGCTGTGCATTCGTATGTGAAGACCCAATTTGGCAACCTTACAATGTATATGAACAATCCTTGTCGAGTCACTAGGACTGGGTGAGTCACTCCAGGTGGGTTTGACTTCTCTTCCATTTTACCTTCCTCTGGGCAGGGCTGTATTTCATTTCATTTATCCGCTCTATCCTTGTAAGCTCTCTCTCCAGCTACTCCTGCTAAGCTCATTCCCATTTTAACCAAAAGCCCCCTGTGCTCAAAATGCTTAGACGCAGCCCAAGAAATAGAAACAGGCTCTTTCCCCAGGAAAAGGGATTCTGACCAGGGAGGAGCTTGAGTCCCATAATCAAAAGCTCATTTCCTTTTCTGGAGATTAAAGACGAAGATTAGAAAAGGGGAAGGTACAGTGGTACTGGTGCAGCAGACAAGGACCCATTCTGAATTAGGACACAGTTATTAAACTGAGATGCTTAAAAATAAATCCACAAATGAAACCCAAAATCAAAGTCTCTCATAAAAATGGATTCTAAACGGCAAGTCCGTTTCCACTTCAGGAAAGCAGGGACATGAAAGAGGAGCGGGAGTCAGAGTGCTGGTAAGAGGTGCCCTGCTTACTCTGTATATACATTCCCTCTCCCGGGTGAGTAGGAAGTAACAGTCTTGGCTGAAATAGCCATGCTGGCTCTGGAGATGGTCAGCAGGTACAGTGCTACACGCTTGGGGAAAAAGAAGGCATGTGACATTTCAAAGTCATCTGGTGACACACAAACACTCACCCCTTGCCAATATGCAGACCGGTATTGTCCTTCAACCAGCTGACCGTGAGTTTCAGTGTAGAGTCATGCTTTATCCGGCAGTCTAAGCGAACCATGGAGCCCTTCTTCACCACCTGATCTTCAGGCCCTCTCACGATCCTAGTTGGGTCTGCAAGGAGTCACAAAAAGTCACCTGTAGGCACAGAACTGTAGAGAATGCAGCTCAAGACTTCAACCAAACACCAGAGGAAGGAAGAACTCAAGTTACTGGTCAAAGATGGAGATGCATGGCCTTGTTTCAGATGCCAAAAGCTGACTAGATGCCCCAATTTAATAGCTTCCAGTTATTTGCAAGACCCTGTTGAGGGGGCAGGTGGCATCTCATCTAAGCTCTCACGCTCAGCAATACATCCTGCCTTTAAAATACACTGGCCTCTGCTTAGAAAAACAGCATTCTTGGGCAACAAACAGGCACTGACAGGGAAAGCGAAGGCACGTCAGAATGCCCTTACTCCATTTAAACATTTTTTGCTGGTTGGACAGCAAACTAGCTGATAATGCTGCATGGCTTCCCTTGCTTTTAAAGGGTGCATTAAGAACTTCAGTGCATGCATTTAGATCTTCAAGTGTCCGCCCATATCAGTTCTTAATATGAAACTCTGTCCTTTCCCTCCCCGCCCCCAAAAACCTAAAGCAAAACTACACCAAGCTCTATAGCACAATACATTTAAAAAAAAAAAAAAAAAAAAAAA